TGTCCTCCTATCTATCTGTCCATATACCCATGTTTTGTCTCTGCTACATTTTTGTAATTAAATTGCTTACATTACCCCTGCTGACAGTAACTGGAAGGTTGTCACATTTCATACCAAGACGGCTTAAACTGCCCCCATATTGAGGCCCTTCATATCTCACTAACTTACTGCATACCCACATCCTGGCTGAGGTTCGTATGGTCCACTAGTACCTTGGACTAATTGTTTCCATGGTCTTTGGTTTTCTTCATTCTTCTTTACTCTGGATGAGGAGGGACCAAGCCATTTTAGATGGCCACTTGCAAGCTTTTAAGATCCCAGTCATTACTCACCAAAGTAGGATATAAGAACAATGTTTTTATGTACTGTGTTATGCCTAGGAGCTCTGATGGCATAGTGCCTAGGGCATTTGACTGCTAACCAGAAGGCTGGCGATCAAAGCAACCAGCCATTCCTTGGAAGGAAAACTGGGCAATCTACTTCTGTAGAGATACCACTTCGGAAACCCAAGGAGGGGTCGCTATGAGTCAGAATCTACTTGATGACAGTGTGTGTGTATGTGTGTGTGTTATGCCAATTGAGCTTTATGTCCCCCACAACCATGGTCCTGAGCCCATGAGCCCAAAATTCCACCCCTTAAGGTGTGGCTGTGGCTAAACAGTTATAATTTTGCCCCTTGTTAGTTCTATTTATATGGACATTCTTACAACACATACAAATACATATGTAGAAATATCGCTTGCCAATCTTATATATGGTCATGGGTATACTCCCTTTTGCCTAGACACACCTGATCATTTAGCCTGTTTAAACCAATTACTTTTGAGATATAAACAGCAGATTAGGCAAAGAAGCAGGAAACACCGATAGGGGAAGACTGATCCATGCCACATGAAGATCACCAAGGAGTCGAGGAACAAAAGCTGAAGAGACAAAGGCTAGAGTTGCTTGGTCCCTCTTTGTCTCCACTCATCAACTACTTTCTTTTTCTTTCTCCCTTAATAAAAGGGAAGAAGTTTTACTGCCTTAGAAATCCAAGGAGGGGTTACTATGAGTTGGAACCTACTCAATGGCAGTGAGTTTGGTTTTTGTTTGGTTAAAGGTAACTAAAATTAGGCTCATAGACAAGCTCTGCACTCTGGACTTACCAACTCAAAAGAGAACTTCTGGATTTTCTCTCCCTGTGGTACCTCTGCACACATGGAGTGATGACTCCAGCAAACCTTCAAAGCCCTACCTGGACATGGAGATACAAGGCAAAGGACCTGACTTGCACATGGATTGAGAACCCACTGAAGGAGCACTCGGTATCCCTGTTGTCCTTTACCTTGGCCCTATTTGTTCATTGTCTCTTCCTTTGATGGTTTAAATGCTAGTTCCTGGAAGGCCATGTCTGTGGCCCAATGACTGTTATGTACATAGAGATTAAACTGAATTGTAAACCTACAGGAAGATGGTGATGAAACCAACCTCTCCATAACACATCACCTCATGGCAGAGGTTGGAAAAGACCATTAAATTCTTAATGTTTCCAATGTACCTCATTAGCAGTCTTTTCAAATACTTTCTTGATGTTTTAACTTTTGACTGCCATTCCCTCTTCCCTCTCCTGTGGAGTATCACAGGCCCCTTCTTCCTCCCAAACGCTGACAGAAGCCTAGAACTAATTTGTTAAGAAGCTGGAGTGTGGTGGTCCGCAGCTTCAGCTAGTGAACGCTCCCCTTCTCCCTACCTTGGTGAATTCTTATAAAGAACCAACTGTATTTCCCAAGAACAAAAGCCACCTTTCCGCTGGGTCTCCCCTGAATACTCAACTCCCTCCCCCCTCTACCGTTTCTCTTTAGCACTCCCTAGTGCCTAAAGCAGGAACTCTGGTAGCATAGTGGCTAAAGCACTTGACTGCTAACCAGAAGGCTGGCGGTTCAAACCCACCAGCCACTCCTTGGAAGGAAGGTTGGGCAATCCTACTTCCGTAGTGATACTGCCTTGGAAACCCAAGGAGGGGTCGCTATGAGTCGGGCCGACTCCTCGGCACATAACAACAACAACAGTGCCTAAAGCAGGAGCTCTGGTAGCATTGTGCCTAAGGCATTTGACTGCTAACCTGAAGGCTGGCAATTCAAACCCACCCGCCACTCCTCGGAAAGAAGGTTGGGCCATGTACTTCTGTAGTGATACCGCCTCAGAAACTCAAGGAGGGGTCTCGCTATGAGTCGGATCCAACTCCAAGGCACATCATATACTCATCTATTTTCAGTCCATGCCAAAGTTTGAACACAGATTTACATGTTTTTTTCCACACTGCATCCCTTGGATTAGGCGCTCAATCTTTTTTGAATGCACGCGGTTTCGTCCGCCTCGTTTTGGGATCTGAGGCCCCTAAATAACTTAATTACTGCCGATTTATTCACTCATTCAGCCCTATCTAACGAAAGCCGCCTGTGTACGGGGCACTGTACTGGGTGTCCGGATAAGTGCGCGAAGGCACGTGCGGGGCGGGGAAAGAAGGGGCCCAGATGCGGGGACTCGCGAGTACTAGCACCACCCACGTCCCTGTGCAGACGCAGCTTGAGCCTCACCGCGCCTCAAAGCAACATCCCAAGACGTCCACCTCCCAGACCCGGGTGCTCAAACCCGATAGCTGCAGTAACCAGCACCCGCTCACACCCACAAGGCTTTGCGCCCTTCCTTCCTTTCTCTCTCTTCCGGGTGGGCCCAGGCCTGGTTAATCGAGCGCAGTGAGCTGGCGTCTCCGCGGTCGGCTGGCCGTGCCTGCCCACGTGGTGCTTTCCAGTCACCGCCTGGAGTAGGAGCGGGTACCCGGGGGTCCTGTGAGTGTGTGTGTGTCGGGTAAAAGCCAGGCCTCCGCGCCCAGTGCTCGGCCTTTCCCCTCTATCGAGTAGGCTGACGTGCCCCGGGAGCCCGCGACGCGCCCAGGTGGGACGAACGGCGCCCAGGCCCTGTCTTGACCTCCATTTCCCAGCACCCCTGTCGGCCCAAACAGGATCAGGAGCGAGCGCCGCCTGCCTTGGTTCCCGGCCCTGGACACCTAAGCCTCCTGTTATGGCTACTCTGATCGCGAAAGATGCCTACTTGCAGAACTTGGCCAGGAAAATCTGCTCCCAGCCCAGTGTGGAGCTGCAGAAGCGCAAGCGGGGTGAGGCAGGTCCGGGCGCGTGCCTTCGTGACGTGGGGCCGGTGTGGGGGTCTTCGCAAGGGGAAGTTCCACTCCCTCCCCTGTGGCGGCCTAGGTCATGTTTACCCTCCACGCCTGGTTAGTTTTCAAGTGGATTAAGCATGGGGCAAATCTGCTAAATATTTGAGGAAAATCTAAGGGATATTTAAAACTGCTGCTCTTTCCCTGACTTGTGAAGAGCAGCCTGGAACGAGGAGCTCAGCTCCGTGCACCCATCGCGTGAGAAGCGTTGCAGAGTCTGGAAGCTGATCCCTGTAGAAGGGTGTCTGCTGGTTGCTTCGTCAACATGCTTAGCCATCCCTCCATTTGGGATGGGAAGACAGTTATGGGTGACGATGAATCAGAGAAAAAATATCGTCTCAGGCTGGTGGTATGAGAGAAGAAGCAAGCAAGTACTGCCAGTGGGGTTTACGTTGGGGGGGTAGGGGGGATAAGGTTACTCAGGAAGAAACTGACTTGCGCTGGGGAGCTTTAAAAGATCTGAGCCCCAGAGGAGAGAAGAGCAGCAGGGTCTTGCTGGAGAACTTAGTTGGCTTTTTTTTAAAAAAATAAATCCTAATCTTTTTATGCAAAGAGTTTATTGTAAGTGGGTTTTCTTATCTGCCAGTTATAATTTAGATTTGTGCCTTTCTAGGGGTTTTTTGTTAGTAACGTTTCAATTGTTCAAATACATTGATCCTGCGCTATATACTCATTTTCCTTCTGTTTAAACCGTAAGCCTCTTCCCACTAGTAAAGTGGAAGTCTGTGCAGTTGTCTGATGGCTTTGTAGTAGTCTGTTGTGTAGCAGTAGCTTGATTTGTCCCTTCCTGTGAGCAATTAGAGTTCTACCATCTTTCACTTCAACACTGTCATGATGAACATCCCTGAAGCCAACCTCTACTTGTACCATGCTAAATTCACAAGCAGAATTGCTAGGCATGGAGTGTACATGCTTTTAAGGTTTTTTACTGTGAGTGGCCAGCCTGCTTCGCAGGAGATCTGACATTCTGAGCCTATGGGTACGTGGTGGCTCTGGATTCTCCGTCCCAATCTCTCTGCACGTTCTGGAATCAAAGTCTCCACAAGACTTTCCTTCCTTCTGAGTGGGTTGCAGAGATTGGGACAGCAACCTTTGTGCATTTTATTATTCAGTTGGCAAAATTCAAGACTCAGAAGGTGCAGGACCTCCAAAAAAGAAAAGGAAGAAAACACAGAAGAAATTCCAGGAGCAGAGAGAGAAGGCTGGGGAACATAAGGCCAGGTCCCTGGGAAAGAAGTCTCCACCAGCTTCCAGGGCCAAGAAGCCAGTGGCAACTGAAGAGGAAGAAATCTCTACTTTCCCTAGGGCACATGCAGGTGAGAGCCATAGGGCCAAGGTGTACAAGCATGGTCCCCTCTGGGGAGCATCACTGTCCTCAAGTCTTGGAGGGGGTGTCACAAGGGCTGATGTGTTTTTTGGGTGTAGAAGGTGTGTTGTGAGGGCAGACTGTGGTAGACCAGAGGAAGCACTTTGTCATCCTAGCAAATGGCACAGGGATCGTAGAATTTATTGGAATTGCCCCTACAGATCTATGAGTGGCCTCAAGGGGGTGACTAGAGCCTTGGGGAAAGGTTGGAGAGAGGCTCTTCTTTCAGTACTGTCTGCTCCCCTGTCAGAACGCCCAGCCACAGAGCCTGACTCACTGTTTGCCCTGGATGTTCTGCGGCAACGGCTACATGAGAAGATACAGGAGGCCCGGGGCCAGGTAGGTGAGGGGAAACTCCCTAGGGTGCTGGGAGGGATGCGTTTGCTGGTGTGGCCCCCACCACACCTGGAGGAGGAAAAACCTCCCTGTTCTCCAAGTCCCTCAGGGGTCCCTTGCATTTTGGGCATTAGGCCCTCACATTGTGGACATTTAGAGTAGTCCTTGTCCAGCAGGGTTGCCTTTTGTACCTGCCTGCCTGATTCCACCGTCACTGTGTGTCAGACTTGGGGGGGTTTCTGGGCCTGGGAGAACTGCAAGTGAGGACCTCTCTTGGCTCCCCAGGGCAGCACCAAGGAGCTGTCCCCTGCTGTTCTGGAGAAAAGGCGCCGGAGGAAGCAGGAGCGAGACCGTAAGAAGAGGAAGCGGAAGGAACTGAGAGCAAAGGAAAAGGCAGCCAAGGCCGGAAAGGCTGATGTGGCCACTGAGCCAGCCCCTGAGCCCCCCTGCCCAGAGCCGCAGGAGCAGACAGGGCTGATCTTCAACAAGGTGAGAGGAGGCTCGGGTGGTCTAGGATCCCTAGGTGTTGGACCTTCTTTCCCCTCACTGGCCACTGTAGCTTGGTCCTCCATGCCCATCCTTGAGGCGAAGTAGTAGCAATACCTGTCTGTGAGGGCCAAGGGGATGGGGCATGTGATACTGTAACGTGCTGACCTTGATAACTTTTCCCCGAGGTGGAGGTAGGCGAGGAGGAGCCGGCCGGCAGTAGGACACAGCGGCGGAAGGAGAAGAGGCAGCAGGTGAAGGGCAATCTGACGCCCCTGACGGGTAGGAACTACCGGCAACTGCTGGAGCGGCTGCAGGCGCGGCAGGCACAGCTGGAGGAGCTGCGGGAGCGGGATGTGGGGCAGGCACAAGCGCTTGAGGCAAAGATGCAGTGGACCAATCTGCTGTACAAGGCAGAAGGTGTGAAGATCCGTGACAGCGAGCCATTGCTACAGGAGGCCCTCAAGCGTAAGGAAAAGCGAAGAGCACAGCGGAAGCGCCAGTGGGAAAAGCGAACAGCACACGTTGTGGAGAAGATGCAGCAGCGGCAGGACAAGAGGCGGCAGAACCTGCGCAAGAAGAAGGTGGCCAAGGCCGAGCGGCGCATGGAGAAGGCCCGCAAGAAGGGCCGGATCCTACCCCAGGACTTGGAGCGGGCTGGCCTGTCCTGAGGGCCCTACAGGCGTTCTTGGATCCAGTCTTCTTTCCCACCATGGCTGCTTTCCATTCTCTGAGTTGCTGTGTGACCCTGAACAAGTCAACCTCCACAAACTGCAGCTTCCCAATGTGAAATGGACAGAGCTTACTTCTCAGGGTGGCTGTGAGGATGTCAGGGACCACACTTAAGAGAGACTCTTGTTAAACATTTTTTCTTGAAAATGGGCACAGGTCCTTCAGGCCCCAGGGAAACTGAGCCAGACCCGGACTCCAAGATTGTCTTGGAGGCTAGAAAGCTCCCCAAAGGGTGGCAGGGTCAGGGAAGGGGGCCCCAAGGGCAGGAAGCAGCAAGAGTTTGGGGGGAAGCTCAGCACTGGTGCCTTTTCCCCTCACGCATGTACACAGTTCTCAGAGTCGGGGGTAGACAGACCTTGCTGACTACCCTGTCAGTCCAGACCTTGCCTGGGAGGAATAGAGCTAACTCCTGCAGTCCGAGCCCAGGGATGTGATGGGTTCTGTTCTCCAGGGGATGGGTAGTCAGCCTCAGCACAGCTGCATCCTGGGCTGGTACAACTGGTGGCTTCCTTTCTCCTGTCTTTTGTCTGTGTTGGCCTCATTGTTTGATTTGATTTTTTAAAATGGGTAAACCATCACCCTAATACATGATTCAGAAGGTATGAGTGTAAACAGACTTATGCGTTTGATGTTGTGTTCTAGTTACACTCAGAACCCTCTGGTAGGGCTGAACTAAAACTACTTTACAGAATTTGGTGCTTTTTTTTTCATGAGTGGGCTGAGAATGTTCTAGACTTGGTGGAAAAGGCTGGTTTTAGATTCAGGATGCTCACAGCAGCCATGAGATTCACTTGACAGGTTTTCTTCCAGAGAGGACTTGCTATTGAGCTGCAAGGAGAGCAGTTTGTCCACAGCCACTGGCACCTTCAGGAGCACCTCAGCGTTCAAGCGAAGACCGTGTTCTCTTTGGGTGCCTCCACTGACCATGGAGCACTAGGGATGCTCAGCCTGAGTATCACTATTCTGCAGGATTCCTCCTCCACCAGACATGCTGTTCAGAATCCTTGCTGGGTAGCCCAGTGAATCAGGCTGTCAACTCTGTTGAGGCACTCCCCACCTACCCCTGCCACCTTGCCCTTAACTTTTCACAGGTATCCCTTGCCCCTAGTAAACCACACATGCTTCTCACTCTCTTGGTATGTTTCTTGGAGGAATGCAGCTGACACACAGCCTTCCACAAACCCTGGAAAAGTAACAAGAGGCTCCATTGGATGCATGACTCCATCTGTAGGACATGAAGTCTAGTTCCAAGTAGCTAAGGTAAAGAGCATTCCTTCCAGGGGCACTGGGTTGGCAGTGGTGCTTTCAGCAGCTACGGCAAGCCTGGAAGGTAAGGGTAAGTGCCAAGAAACTGCTCAGAGTCCATCCCTGTGGATGGTCCTCAATTTTGTGAGCCTTGGTTATTGCTCAGCTTTTGCTGAAAATGCCTTCCCTTCACCCTTGCCCTTGAGAATACGAAGTTGAAGAAGGAAAATGATTCCGAAAAGCAGTGAAGCAAAGATGAGACACATTTGAAATCTAAACAAAGGTTGATTGTACAAGGATGTGAAGGAGCCCTGTGTTGCAGTGGGTAAATACAAACATCAGTGGTTCGAAGCCACTGGTCCCTGGTCAGAAAGAAAGATGAGGCAGTTTGCTTCTGTAAAAATCACAGCCTTATAAATACTATGGGTTCTACCCTATCCTATAGAGTTGGTGTGAATTGGAATTGACAGCAATCAGTTTTGGGTTTAGAGCCACACGTGGCTACTGAAGTTAAAAATTCAGTTCCTTGGAAGCATTAACCATATTTCAAGTCTCTGTAGGCACATATGGCAAGTGCCTATGGCATTGGAGCATTTCCATACTGTGGCAGTGCTACTGGTCAGTGTGTTTTGTAATTTGCATGCTTAAAACATCACAATGGATCTAAAATACTGCACACACAGCATGTAAAATGGTGGTGATTCTGGTTGAAATAATCTTAGGGTTCTAAGTAGGTTGAAAACTAGAATTTAAATTAAATATGTATAATAAAGATTCTAAGATAAAAAGATAGAAGCTGTGGGTATTAAGCAGAGGAAAAATTTCAATCCAGAGGAAGGCAGGAGAAAGAATAAAACCAAGAAACTAAGTGAGGTAAGAAAAAGTACAGTGTAATGGTGGAATTAAATCCAAATTTATAGACAGTTGAGATGAATGTAAATGGACAAAAGTCAGGTGAGTTTGATGGTGTGTGAATTATATCGCAGTACAGGTGGTAATTTTTCAAACTGAACTCTTCAGTTAAGACATTGTAATTGAATTAAAAATGGCCCAGCTAAGCGCTGTGTACGATGCAGAAACTATACAGAGATGCATCTGAAGGCCTCGGGATGAAAGCCCTCTGAATGAACAAAGCTGCACGTTGGGGTGAAATAAGCTTGAAGGAACAAATGCTGCTAGAGAGGGAGGATTGCCAGGCATTGACAAGATTCTGTTTGCCTGGAGGCAGAACTACCAAACCTCCGCACCAGTAACAAACATTTCATGCTACTTAGCAAAATCTTAGAAAACCACAAAGTGGGAGATTTTGTCACCTGTCCCTTAGGAATTGATAGGCTGGCTAGGCAGAAATTAGATGGATGTGGAGGAGTTAAATGGTACATTTTTACCCTGTCCATCACTTGGCAACACCAGGCTGCCTCTGGCGGTCTCCACCTCATTAGACATACCTGGCCACACTGCCACCCCCATCTCTTCATCACCTCCACCTGGGATCCCTCCTGGAGCTCTGGTGGTGTAGTTAACAAGTTGTGCTGCTAGCCAAAAGGTTGGTGGTTTGAACCCAGCAGCCTCTGTGGGAGAACCATGAGGCAGTGCTTCCGTGAAGATAAAGCCTTAGAAATCCTATGGGGCAGTTCTACACTGTCCTACAGGGGTGCTATGAGTCAGAATTCACTGGATGGCAGTGGGTTTGGTTTTTGGTTTGGGCTCCCTTGCAACACACCAGCATTCTCATTATCCATACCTGGCTTGCATGTGGGTTTTCATCCCTCCTCACTCCAAGACCATGGCTGCCTTCTGATCCACCTCATCTCCTGAGCCCCCACTCTTGCCACTTTCTCGTTCCCCACCTGTTCCTTTTCCTAGCTCCTCATTCCAAAAAACCAAACTTACTGCCATTGAGTCCATTTTGACTCAGCAACCCCCATTGGGTTTCCAAGGTGGGTAAATCTTTATGGAAGTACATTGGCCCATCTTCCTTCTGTGGAGTCTCTCACCTTCACTGAATTGGGTCTCTAGGCCCCTCCCACCTCATTGCTCAAGTCTGGGCTGGCACCTGACCCCTCCCACTTCCTTCTTGCCCACACCTAGACTGCTTTAGGGTCTCTTCACCTCCTTATCCACCACTCTGCAAACCTCGGACCTTCCCACTTGCTTATCACCCTTTCCTGGCTCTTCTCACATCTCTACCCACAACTGGGCATTTTGGGTCCTCATCCTTCCCCACTGCCAATCCCAGGGCTGCCTCTTGACCCAGCCCACTCCACACCGTTGCCTTCTGGTCTCACCTCATTAACCAACACCAGGGTGTTGCCCTGGCCCCTCCTATCTCCTGACCTCCCCACTTCATTCACATCCCATCATGGTGGTCTTTGGGACCTGCCCTTCTCCCCCATACCTGGCCGTTTTGCTAACCCTGTCCATCTTATTACCCACATCTAGGTTTTCAGACCACTGCTACCTCATTACCCACCAGAAGTGGGTGTTCTGATCTTTGCCAGCTCTTTGCCACTCAAGAGTCTTGTTCCCCAGGTCTCTGCCAACAACTCGCTTCCCACACTTGGGATTTACAGTGATTATTCTCACCTCATCATCCAGAGGGCTAGCAGCAGACTCCAGGGTGTCTTGCCTCCCAAGTGAATCTGGCTCAGACACCTTGGCCCTGCGCGCTTTGGATTCTTGACTTTGCTTATTGAGCATCTGGGAGACTCTGGAAAGTAACGTGATTTCACAGAGCCTCTGCTCCAGCCAGGAGCTCTGGTAGCGCGTTGCCTAAGGCACTTGATTGCTAACCAGAAGGCTGGTGGTTCAAACTCAACTCCTCGGAAGGAAGATGGGGCAATCTACTTCCGTAGTGATACTGCCTCGGAAACCCAAGGAGGGCTCACTATGAGTTGTTCACGGCACATAACAACTTCCTGCCTGTGCAAGACTTCCTGACAGCAATGAGGGCAAGAGCCCTGCCTGAGCCAGCTCTGCTCCTGGCTTGGCTTGGATGCTTCTCAGGCTGAGCCTGGGGCACAGTGAGGGTTTGCGGGTGCAGATACAGGGGTGCACAGTGAGTGTGCAGGGACCAGCAGGATTTGCAGGTGCAGGTTTAAAGTGCCCACTCTCCTGCATATAGGTTCCTGGGGATTCTCTTCTGCCTTGTTCTTCCCCTATGGCTCATTTGGAAGCTCAGGCCTCTATTCCTAATGGATTCTACTTTGGTCAGAGGAGACTATTCTGACTCTCCCCTTAGCTTCAGGAAAGCAGATTCGGCTCTGCCCAGTAACGCTGTCCTGTGGATGCCCTTCCCAGCAGTGGAGTCCTGCAAGATGCTTGGACCTCTAGGGACAGTTCTGTCCTATGAAGAAAATCTTTGACCTCCAGCCCACTGTAGTTCTGCTGGTCGTCTTACTGGCTAATGTGAAGCCTAGTAGCAATTGTTGAAATGTCTATTTTGGGAGAGAGATTTCCTTGTCTTTGCACACATACAAGTATAATGAAATGAGGACTCTGCAAGATGGTTTTACTTAAGCAGAGTGTGAAGACCTGTCTCATTTAAACATGGAGATGGGGCTGTGACTGGTTGGGGAGCAGTAGAAATCGGCTCCTTTGTTGTTCCATCCCCTGGAAAGGCACTGGGAAACGAGATGACCAAGGACTCACTAGGCATGATGGTGGTGCCCCCTTCCTACACCCCACCCCCAAG